CGTCTCTCCAGAAATCTGCACTGTGCCTGAAGATGCGAGTTATTTTATCATTAAGATATAACATATGAAGTTTTTCACAAATGCCTGATAAAATTCACTTGGAGTGCTTATAAATACTGTACAGTTTCCAGGAAATACAGGAACCAGAAAAATACAGGTTCCTCCAGTTCTCCCATCCTTCCTGATTCTGATTTTGCAGGACTGGGGTGTGACCTGCTAAATAACATACTGCATAAACACTCCAGGTGACTCTTTTCTTTGTTTTGTCTTTTGAGACAGGGTCTCACAATGTCGCCCAGGAGGCCGGCCTCAAACTCGCCATCTTCCAACCTCGGCCTTCCGTTGATGGGTGACTGTCGTGCTATTAGGCAACGGTTCCACCATATTGAAGCCTGAATCACTGACAGCCGGCTAGCCCGGGTGTTGAGAAACATTTCAAGGTTTCTCCATACCATCGGGCGGATCTTAAGTAACCCATCTAACCAAGTCAGAAACTGGGAAGGGCTGAGAATCTGGATGAGATGTAAAAGTCAGTACACATCCGATTCGTAGAACGCTGACGGATTTCTCTCGATGGAGAACAACCCTCACAGAAAAATCAGCCAACGCTGACAGACCACGGTCTTCACACAGCTTCTCCTCCACAGCAAGGGTGGATGTCTTCCCAGAGCAAGGAGAAACCAAGTGTTCCACTGTCTCAATTCTTCAACAGGAATTCTTAGGACTTGGCAAGAGAGGCAGAATGCTGCTCTCTCAACTCCCTAAGAAGGGGAAGTGGTGCGGTGAAATTACTCTCTATAATTAGACCACTAAACCGGGCGTAGTGGCGCAAGCCTGTAATCCCAGCACTCGGGAGGCTGAGGCAGGAGGATCGCTCGAGTTCGCAACCAGCCTGGGCTACAAAGTGAGCTCAAGGCCAGCCTGAACTCCATAGCGAGACCCTGTCTCAAAAAGACCAAAAAAAAAACCAAAAGAAAAAATATATATATAATTAGGCCACTAGCTCTGCCATTCCACCTGCTGGGCGAGCGCTTCCCTTCGGAAGAGCTCAGCACTACCGCGCAGGACGAAGAGCGCGCCAGCCCGTCTCCCGGGGCTCGCCCTCTCCGCTCACGTCCCTCCCGGTGGCAAAGGCAAAGCGCGGGCTCCCGCACGGCCGGCGGGGCGGTCACCGTGCGGCCAGCGCAGGCAGCGCGGCGCCTCGAGACGCGAGAACTGAGCGAAGGCTGAAGCAGAGCGGCGGGGCTGGCGGCGGCCGAGGACGAAAGGGCGCGCGGCGGGGCAGCCCGAGCCCCGAGGACGCGCGGCCGGAGCTCCGGGGCCGAGAGGCGGGAAGCCGAGGGCGACGGCCATTACCTGCGTCCGAACAGCCGCGGCGGGGCCAGGGCCGCGCTGAGCTCCTCGCAGACGTGGCCGCCCACCTGCGGGGCCCACGCCGGGCCGCAGCCCCAACTTCTGTGTGCCCAGCCTCGCCACGCCATCTTCCCAACCTCGGCCCCACCATGGCCCGACCTGACCACCCCCAGCGGCGGAACCACTTCCGGGGCGAAGGGAGCACCATAGAGCGCCCAGGAGCTCCTAGAGCGTCCCCGCGCCAAGGAGCGGAGGCCAGGCCAGGCGAGAGGGCGCATGCGCGGCTCCCATGCGGGACTATGTTTCTATCGCAGCTCTGCTGCCGCCGTGGATCCCCGACCTGAACCCCACTGGGGAGAGGAGCCTGGCCTCCACCCCCCTTGCACATGCGGAACATGAGGAAGAAGAGTAGGGAAGCTGATATTATTGAGTAATGCCACGTACCAGGCACTTGATCGGCCTCTTCACACACCGGCTCCCAGCAGGAACCAATACAAGTTTTCTTAAATTATGATTTCTTCTGCCTCTTTTCGTGTCCTCCCTCGTGGAGGATGTGCCACCTATCTTTAACACAAAGTCCAAGCCTGAAGTGAAAATCCAGACTGCTTGCTTGTCGGTCACCTTTATTTCTTGCCGCTTAACCCCGCGAGATCTAGTTGCAGCCGGGCTAAGTCAGTGGCGCGTCCTCAAAGGCACCATCCCTCATTTATACTCCATTCTCACCACCGCCTTTCCCCTCCCACGTCCTCAAACTGCCTAACCAGCTTGTCCTTCAGCTCTTCAAGGGTCCCAGGAGAGGCCTTTCCCACACCTCCACTCTGACTTCTCTGCTCTTCTTTTGTGTATGCATACTGTTTTATGCATATCCCTGCAATAATGCCACATTCGTTCCACAAACACTTATTAAACAAGTCTAAATTATATCTGAGAGGCCGAGCATGAGGGTGGATGCCTGTAATCCCAGCACTGGGGAGGCTGAGGCAGGAGGATTGCTGCAAGTTCAAGGCCAGCCTGAACTGCAGTGAGATCCTGTCTCAAAAAGACAAAAAGATAGATAGCTAGATAGACAGACAGACAGACAGACAGATCTCCCTGGGTTCATTTCCCAGGGCAGAGAAAAAAGAGACATACTAAAATGTTCTACACAGAGGATAGCATAGGTAATGTCCCCTAAGGCATGAATTATTTGAGAAACTAAATTCACTTTGACTATGTCATAGGTATTTAGACTAGGATTTGATTTTATCCTGTTTGTAAGCCAAAAGGTGGGATGCTGGCAAAAGACAGGAGACTCCTGGGTCAAAGATAAAAAAAACTTTATCACAATTCAGCAAGCATCACAGCACGTTTCCTCAAGTTCCCTTGTTCTGTCCAAGGACCACCGTAACGACACCAGGGGCCAGATGCACGGAAACACACGGTGGACTCACACTTCAACTGAAGAAGACTGAGCTTTAGGAATCCATCTATTATCTATCTACCTACCTGTCTATCTGTCTATCTATCTATCTACAGTGGAACCAATCTGTGACCAGAATCATGGAAAGAATTAAGTTTGTGAACCAAGGAAGCACTGTATTTATTTATTTAGGGTTTTTTGTTGTTGTTGTTTTGTTTTGAGACAGGGTCTTGCTAAGTAGTCCAGGTTGGCCTTGAACTTGCTATATAGCCAAGGGTGGCCTCCAACTCATGGTGATCCTCCTGCCTCGGCCTCCTGAGTGATGAGATTACAAGCATGCACTAGCATGCCTGGCTTTTATTTAGGTTTTTTGAGCTAGGGTCTCGCTTTGTAGTTCAGGCTGGCCTTGAATTAACTGTGTAGCCGAGGCTGGCTTCGAACTCATGGAGATCCTTCTGCCTCAGCCTCCTAAGTGCTGAGATTGCAGACCTGTACCACTACTCCTTGCTTGTTTTACAATAAGTTTTATAGTAAACCAGCGAACAGCCTGGTTTACTATATTGTTTTCCACCAAAGGAAAAGGCAAATCTGCATGTAGCCTTGGAAGAAAGAGATAGTCTTACTCTACAGCCCATAGGCATGTGTAAAGCTCCTGGCTCCTAAATCACTCATAAAAGATTCTGGCTCCTAAATCAACATGCTTTTCCTACAGCTCAGCCACTGAGTATGCAAATGTCATCCAGCCCTCTTCGCAGTGCTCCATGGGAACTGGGACACAAGGAGCCAGCAGAAAAATTCCAATCATCTGGCGAATGCTCTTGCTGTGAGTGATGGATTACCCTACATGTCTGACCCATGAGTCTTGTGGTTTTTTTTCTCCTTGGTTTTGGTTTTTCTCGGGTACCGGGAACCGAACTCACGACCTTGCACTTGCCAGGCAGGTGCTTTGCCGCTGAGCTAAATCCCCAGCCCCAAGTCTTGTGTTTTCTACCAGCACAGCTGAAACTGCGACAGGCACAGTGAGGAGCTGTGAACACACAGTTGTGGGGTTGGGGGTGGAGGATGCTTCTCTAGGCACTGACAAGAACTTGGGTGTGGCCGTAGTGCTGAAGGCAGAAGGCAAAGGAAAATGAAGATGAGGAAGCCCCGAAGCGGAGTCCTGGATGCAGACAGGGTTGTCTGAAGAACTTGGGGTCACTAGGATGATGGCGGGACTTGGGAGGGAACCCTAGGACTCTGGTGAAGAAGAGGCAGCGATAAGAATATCAGTGGTGCTGAGGAGCTGCCGTAGATAAAGGGCAGAGAGAGGTCTTGGTAGAAAAAAAGTATGTGTCCAAGGTGATCGGTGGCGAGAAATCTGGAAAGATCATAGGGCCCGGGTGGATGTGGGCCACCTGGGCCAGGGAGCTGGGGCTGGGATGTGCCTGGATACTCCTGGCTGGCCCTTCCGGGTCCCTCTCGTGCGCTGCCCCAGGTGCACCGGAGCTTACTTTTCGGAGCCCCATGAATGGACTCCACCTGGCTTCCGGCTGGGCTCAGTGACAGGCACGAACAGGCGCGGGGAGCGGGAAGGAGAAAGAGACAGCATCTCGCTGTGCAGCTCAGGCTGGCCTTGAGCTCACACATTGTAGCCCAGGTTAGTCTCGAACTTGCAATGATCCTCCTGCCTCAGCCTCCTGAGTGCTGGGATTACAGGTGTGCACCACGACACCCAGCATCAGCTGTATTGAGTTTTATGGAATACATACAATCATATAACCATCTGTCTTGGTTACTTTTCTCTCCTTGCTGAAACAAAATACCGGACTCCCAAAATTAGGGAAAGAAAGGTTTATTTAGCTCACAGATTGTGGAGGGTTCAGTCCGTAATCAGCTGGCTCCAAGGCAGAGTGGCAGGGCACAGGGGCAACAGTTTAAGGCGGCAGAAGACAGCAAAGCAACAAGAGCAACAGGGGTGGGAGACAAGCCTCTTTCCCTCCCTTATATTGTATACTGGCTACTTGCCCACACACCATCTCCGTGCCCTCCTCTTTCTACAGGCTAAGGATGTTTACAAAGTAAGGACCCTGGCCCCCTGCTGAGTCACTTAGTTAAACTTTTAAATGTCTCAAGCTGACACAATGAACAACATCCTAGAGCAGTAAGGACTGTCCTTTGCACCCCAGGATGTAGAACTGCTGAGTTACTTAGTTAAGCTTCTAGACTCAAGTTGACACAATGTTTCAACCATAACACCATCGCCACACCCAGATCTAACTCCTTAAGTTCCCTTATGTCCCTTTCTAGTCAACCCCACTTCCAGACCTTGGCAACCACTTATTCCTACAGTTTTGATTTTTCAAGAATATGACAGAAATAGATGCCTATGAATATGCCTGTGTGCAAACGTGTGTTTTCATTTCTTTGTGTCACACCAGCCAGGGCTGGGACGGCTGTGTTGTGTGGCGTCACGCTCGCTTTCACAGAAAGGCCCGTTGTGGCTGTGCCGTGTTACCTCCCCAGCGGCGGTGCGCGAGGGTTAGTTCCAGCTTCCCGCACCTGTTCGGGCTCTCGGGGTTGTCAGGGCTTTGCTTTTAGCAACTTGAACGGTGTGTAGTGGTATCTCATTTGCATTCCTTAGCCCAAGCTATTCCTTTTTAATAAGTAAGACTTGTCTGGAAACAGAGCTAGGGGGCCCTTCTGGGAAGGTAGAAGGGTCCCCGAGGGAAGAGCTGCTGGGAACAGTTGTCTTGGCAGCGGGCTTCGCTGATGGACTGGGGCCATCTTTCTCCTGCCTGCCTGCACTTCTTCACTTTTGCCAGAAGAGGGCAGGAGAGAGCAGGAAAAAAAATAGGCTGCTTTCTTTTTTTTTTTTTTTTTTTTTTGCGCAGGGCCTTCCACAGAACTACATCCCAGTCTTTTTTTATTTTTGAGACAGGGTAGCTCTTGAACTTGGAATCCTCCTGTCTCAGCCTCCCAGCGTGCTGAAATGACAAGTCTGCACCGCGATGCCCGATTGCCCCCCCCCTTTTAAACTCATTAATCCTCAGCATCCAGAGTCTGTAAATACCCATTGTATTTACAGTTTTGCCTGAACACCTTTTCCCCCTGAACCTGCTTAGCTGCTGTCTTGTGAGGCTTGATTCACCGAATGAACCACGCAAATTGATTTCATGTCAACCCTAACGAAAGCTGTGATCCTTCCCTGCCAATCTAACCTGAGAACTGAGCTACCTTTGTGGAAGTCTTGAGAGGTCCCCTTGCTACCGCCACCCAGAGCTTGTGTTAGGGAGCCCATGAGCAGGGCAGCTGGGTGAACCCCCGTCTGTCCTCTTCTCCGGCTGCAGGGAACAAGGGAGACTGGGGAAGACTCCAGCCAGCGACAGGCCCTCCCCACTGGGGCCTGGGCTGGGGCTGCAGCTGCTCCTGAGGGGCACTGCGCAGATCTCCTGGGGCTGGGGCTGCAGGGTGCCCCCGAAGGCGTACTCCAGGCTGAGCCCCGGGGTGCCCTCTGGCAGCTGGAACCGGAAAGTCCGGAGGAGTGTGGCAGACATCAGAAAGAGCTCCATTCGGGCCAACTGGTCCCCCGGGCACATACGATGTCCTGGAAAAGGTCAGGGGTGGCAGCTGCCTGTGTCTGTCCCTATCACCATCCCACCTATCACCCAGCACCCAGTACCCAGCACCCAGTACCCAGCACCCAGTACCCAGCACCCAGCACGGTGCTACGTACCCGCAGAGAACGGCAGGAAGGCCTCATTCACCACGAAGCTTCCATCCTTGTCCAGGAGGTGGCCGGGGTTGAACTGGTGAGGGGTCTCCCAGCGCTCAGGGTCACACAGCACAGAGGCCAGGTTGGGCAGGATGACGGTGCCCTGCAAACAGAAGCTGGTGCAGCTCAGGGAGCCTCAGAGGCCCCAGCCCCGGCCCTGGCCCAAACCCTGGCCAAAGGGACCCTGGAGCACCCAGTGCCGTGCGCTGGTGGCAGTAGCTAGGGGCTGGGGCTAGGGGTGTCCAGCAGGCAGCCCCAAGGGGGCCTCCCTCTAGGTCACAGCATCACACCCTTCGGGCTGGTGGGAACCCACACGTGAGAGAGAGACAGACAGACAAGCAGAGCTACTTAGAGAGCTGCCTGTGGAGAAGCGAGCCATGGGAAGGAGCTGAGGAATCAGGGAGCAGGAAGGAGCCGGAGGCTGCTATCGGGTGAGCTCCGCTCCTGCCCTGGGGCCCTGGGCTGACTGGAAACTACACGAGGAGGCCACGGTTGGAGCAAGGAGGGGGCTGGTTATAGTCCCGGTCCCTGCACCAGGTTCTGGGAAGGCCTTCTACTGCAGTTCACTTACCCAGGGCCATAGAATTAAACCACGGGGCCCCCTACAGGGTTCTTGGTTTTGACAAAGATAGTTTGGAATTTAAAACAAAAGCAAAAAGCAAACAAAATCTCAGCAGCATTTGAAGCCTGCATTCCAAGCAAGAGCCGATAAAGAGGGCAGAAGCGAGCCGTAAATACTTCCAGAAGCCACTTTGTGCAGTGCTGCTAGCTCAAGGGGCCAGATTAGAGCCATCAGACTGACGTGACACCCAGGCCTGGTCACTCTGGCTGCAAGCAGAGGGACAGAGGCGGAATGAGTTCCTACATATTTTCCCGTTATACTCCAGGGACTCACCCCACCCTCGGTTTCCCCATGTGGAATTAAGTACACCCTGCATGGTAACAATTCTTTTTACCCCCCCCCCCCTTGTGGTGCCAGAGATAGAAGCCAAGGCCCTGAACAGGCTAAGCATGTGCTCTGCCGCGGCACTGCCTCCCCGGCCTGCTCAGCAATCCGTACCAATCACTTCAGACGATGGGGCCCTTGCCAAAGATGCTGGGTTCCCTCCAGAATTATTTCCTTCCTGTTCAGGGTGATCTTCTGCCTCCTTGCAAAGTGACTGACAGATCTCAGCTCTGGGAAGGGTTCAGAACATGACTTATCTGCACACCAAGGGCCTCCCTGTCCCCAGACAGCAAAGCCGTCTGCCCGCTGGGTGCCTTCTGGCTCCCCGGTAAATGGCACTTTGAATTTCACAGTGCAATAGTCTGAGGAGAGCTGGGCTTGACCCGCTGTATCAGGGACGGTTGCTGTCATTGCTGATGAAACGGTTGGGGAGAGTTTAGGGATATCTGTAACATTTAATGATCCACTGTCAAGCTTTGATTCCTCTTTCAGCAGCTGTCTGTCTCCAAAGTTGTAAAACCTCGGTATTGATTCCAGGTTGTTAATGGCCCCCTGCAGCCTGTTTCACAGAGCAACTCCTCAACCCAACTGGCAGGATCAGGCTCTTAATAAGGATATTTCCAATCACAAATGGCACAAAACAGAGTCAAGGCCTGGTCCCCACCTTTTTAACTTGGCGTAATTTGGCACAGGGTTTACACAACCTGCTGTGCCAGAAGCGAGACAAGCTGATGCCACCCTGGTCCTGTTCCCACTTCCTGGGAGACACATCACACACCTATGAACTTGGTGGCCAACCAGTGTCAAGGACAGCTCGGTGTCTTCCACTCTGGCCAACCAATGAACAATGCAGAACACCCCCACCTAACCCATTGGCTCATTGGCTTTCCTAGAGAGTCACTTCTGGAGCAATTTGTGGTGCAAAGAGCAAAACCTTTGGAGTCACAGAACCATGAATGTGAAACTGAGTGAAGCCACTTCCTAGCTGTGTGTTCCAGCAGGTACGGGAGCTCTCGAGGGTCAAGTCTCCCTGCCCTTGCAAATCCATCACAGTGACAGTGATCCTACCTAATGGCTAAGTTACCATGAAAGAGAAAGTAGGGGAAGCATGCCAGGCATGGTGGCACACGCCTGTAATCCCACACAGGAGGCTGAGGCAGGAGGATAGTTGCGAGTTCGAGACCAGCCTGGGCTACCAAGTGAGCTCAAGGCCAGCCTGAACTGCATAGCCAGAACTTGTCTCAAAAAAAAAAAGAAAAAAAAGAAGAGGAAGCAGGAATCAAGACTTTGATCAATTGACAGAGTTCATGATGCCATCCTGGAAGGCTGTGGAGTTGAGTTTGCCTTGGGCCTGAGCGGCAAGCACCAAATGAAGACTGGCATGAAAGGGAAGATGGGGCTACACGCTCCCTGTTGCTTCCCTCGTGTGCCACGTGGCACTACTATAGCTCTCGCGGAGGACAGACCGGCAGTGCATCAGGCCAGAGCTGACACCTTTTCCTAAGGAGAACCTTGGGGCTCCAGGCACCGCCTCTGCACACCTGCAGCACAGCACCGGCATGAGCGGCTCCATCTGGCTTCCGTTACAGTGGAACCTTGCCCCCTCCGCGCCCTGAGAGGTGACCTGTTAAATGCTCCCAAACCCCCTTGACTCCTGCTATTCCCACCCTCGTGGAATCCCCGCTCTGAGGCAGGGCAGGATCTGGTTACTCACCTCTAGCAAATGGAGTATGGTGAAGGTGTGACATTGTCACAGCAGAGATTAGCTTACAAAGGCTTCTACTTGGGGTGCTGGCCTGCTTGTCTCCCTGATGGAGGTCAGTTGCCGTGTTTTGAGCGGCCCTATGCCAAGACTCACGTGCCAGGGAACTGAGCATGACCTCCAGCCAGCAGCCCAAGAGCAAGTGCGTCCCGGAGAATCTATGTGAGGAGCCGCAAGCCGAGCCTCCCAGTGGAGCCTGCAGGTGAGGCCGCAGCCCTGCTCCCTTGAGGCACCCTGGTCCAGCTAAGCTGCAGCTGACTTCCTGAGTCTTGGAGGCCGTGAGGCCCTAAATGCTGCTGTTTCCGCTGCTGCATGCAGGGAGGTAACTAGTTCAGCATCATGGACCCAGGCTTGGCCTAGCTCAGCCAATGGTACTGAACACCAGGTGCCTCATGGTGTTAGAGTGAGAACACGCTCTGCGCGGAGCCTCAGCACACAGCCACCCTTGGCGAAGGGCAGGAATTCTTGTGCTGTCACCCAGCTGTGTCAAAGCCCTGCATGGAAACCTACCTGGAGAAGGCTCGCCCCAGCCCCAGAAGCCTCAAAGATATTATTTTGGCTTTACATAGAAATGCACTCAATTTTATGTTAAACTTTTATACAAGGAAAGAAATGTCAACTTCAGTGTTCATTGGGGTCATGGACGACATCTCATCTATGCAGAAGGCAGAAAGCAGGCATCAGTACAAAACACTGAGCCTTAAAACAGAAAAATAAGGGGCTGGGGATTTAGCTCAGTGGCACAGTGCCTGCATGGGAAGCGCCAGGTCGTGAGTTCGATTCCCAGTACCGGAAAACAAACAAACAAACAAAAAAACAGAAAAATAACCGTAGTCCCTTATAAGCTGCATTTAATACCAAAGAGAAGCACCAGCTGAGAAGTAACTTCCTAAACATTTCTATTTTGTTTGTGTTTTAAGTTAATTATTTCTGGGTATAAGGATATTTTCAGGCATAAGAAATTTTTTTTTTTTTTTTTTTGCGGTACTGGGGATCAAACTCATAGCCTTACGCTTGCTAGGCAGGCGCTTATGCCACTGAGCTGTATCCCCATGCGTAAGAAATTTGACCTTGTTGTGTGTATACAAAGTTGGAATTGTGCTAACAGGAGAAGAACTCTTTTTTTTGTTTGTTCTTTTTTGTGGTTTTTGGTTTTTTTCCGGTACCGGGAGTCGAACTCACAACCTTGTGCTTGCCAGGCAGGCGCTGTGCCGCTGAGCTAAATCCCCAGCCCCCGAGAAGAACTTCTCTATAAAGATACGACTGCAGTTAAATTTAAAAGAAGCTCTTTAGAAGTGGGAATATCAAATAGAAAGGCTCTCGATATATACACTGTTATTTAGGTATCTAATTTTTAAAAATCTGTGCATACGTTTAGATGATAACTAAAATATTTGAAGAGTCAGCTCCAGATGTGTGAGAAAGCGTTGATGTGTTGATGGACGTGATATGATACAATGTAACATGTTTTTAGAGGAAAGAATATCTCCCTTGTTGCTGACAATTGACATTTGTCTGTCCCAAGCTGAGCAGTGCCCCATCTTGCTTGGCTGTGTAATAATAGTGTCAATTTATACAAACAAAGCTTGTCAGAAGTCCAAGTTTTATACGATTTTCTTTATCATTAAAGACTAAAATACTTCCATTTAAATTTATAATTTTTTTTTTTTTGTACCAGGAATCAAACTCATGAACTTGCACTTGCCAGGCAGGCACTGTGACACTGAGCTATATCCCTGGTCCCCTAAACTTATAATTTAAAAAAATAATAATAATATACAATGTGGTCTGTGTCCCTTCTAAGATAGTCAGTGTTTCAGTCAATAAAGATACTTTGAATAATGAAGAGGTGTGCGGCTAGGGATTTACCTCAGCGGCACAGCACCCGCCTGGCAAGCGTGAGGTCGTGAGTTCAATTCCCTGGAGCGGGGATGGATAGTAATGAAGAGGTGAGATAAGAAGCCACTGCCATTCTCAAGAACATTTCTGCAACTTTAAAAACTCCCTACTTCAGCCAGGCGTGGTGGCGCACGCCTGTAATCCCAGCACTCGGAAGGCTGAGGCTGGAGGATCGTTGTGAGTTTGAGACCAGCCTGGGCTACAAAGTGAGCTCAAGCCCAGCCTGAACTGCACAGCGAGACCCTGTCTCAAAAAAAAAAAAAAAAAAAAAAAAAAAATTTCCTACTTCAGGCACTGTACAATATATTATGTGCTGGGCCTTGAAAGTCTTTTATGAAAGGTGACCCTCATACTAATGTTTCAAAATGTGATAAGCCAAAGCTCTCTCCATATACATGTGCCTCCTTTTGTTACATAAAGAGGGGCATACCTGGGATTTCCTTTTGTGCCCGTCTCTAAAGAAGTTCAACTCAAGTTTCGTGTACATACATAATAGTTGTTTTTGACCTACATATTTTATTTATTTATTTATTTGTTTTTTGGTGACTGGGTCTCACTGTATAGTTCAGGTTGGCCTTAAACTTGGCAACAATTCTCCTGCCTCAGCCTCCCAAGTACTGGGATTACGGGCATATGCCACCACATCCGGTTTAAGAGGCTGCTTTTAACCTAAATATTTTTGTATAACTCTCTTCCTTTCTGTCTTTATCTGGTGTTATAAAGTGAAATAAAAGCTGGGCACAGTGCACACACCTGTAATCTCAGCACTTGAGAGGCTGAGGCAGGAGGGTCACTGTGAATTCAAGGCCAAGCTGGGCTACATAGAGAGTTCGAGGCCAGCCTGAACTACAAAGCAGGCCCCTATCTCAAAAAAAAAAAAGTTAAAATGAAATAAGAACAAACAAATAAATTGCAAATGGCCTATATGTTCACCGATAAGGACCAGAACCCACAAAAACACCTATTTGGCAGAACATGGGATAGGCAGTACATGATGTGAGCAGTGGTTTGGGCCACAGTAACCAAAGCAGGACCCTGTGGGAAAGGCCAATGGTCAGGCCCCAGCCAGACACACGATGGGGTGGAGCCCAGAGCGGGGGTCACAGCGGACCTGGAGGCTTGGGAACCATCGCTGTAGGACAGTCTGAGTGCTGTGCTAAGTGAAATGAAGGATTCAGAATGATCAATGTAGCATAATCACTAGTATATAAAATATATGTGAACAACGAAGTTTGGGAAAGGGTACATTAACATGTCTGCAAGGGTTTTCTGTGAACAGTAGGAAACTTTTAAAATATCCACCAGTGAGTGCATTACTATATAACCCTCATCCCATTCCTAATGACATAGATGATAGATGGTAGATAGATGATAGATAGATACTAGATAGACAGAAGATAGAAGATAGATAGATGATAGATAGATAGTAGATGGTAGATGATAGATACTAGATAGAAGATAGTAGATAGATGATAGACAGAAGGTAGTGATAGATGATCAATAGATGATAGAAGATAGAAGATGGTGATAGAAGATAGATAGATAGATGATAGAGAGATAGAGGACTGATTGGTAGGGAGCTGGCAGGTCGGCAGAAGCTGCAGCAGCTGGAAGGGTGTTTCTTGCAGGTGTGGGTTGGGAGTGGGACTCCCGGGGCCACCTACCTTGGGCACGTAGAAACCACACACACTGGTGGATGTCACACACTGGCGCACAGTGCCTACCGCCACCACGCTGCTGAGGCGCTGCACCTCGTGGAGGACGGCGCGGGTGAAGGGCAGTCGCTTCCGGTCCTCGTAGCGGACGGTCGGGGCAGTGCCCAGCACCGCATCCAGCTCCTGCTGCACCCTCTCTGCAGATGGCTCAGCGTGGGTCCCAGCTGGCACTCAGGCTCCCGACCCTGGGTCACACTACCCCACCCCACCTGCCACCCCTGCTCAGTGTAGGACTTGGAAGGTTTTGCTCCTGCCCGTGACCCTTATGGGCAGAGGAAGGGCCCAGATTTGAGCCTCATGTGTGGCAAGTGCTCCGCACCCACAGAGCCTTATCCCACAGCACGGTGCTCTCTGTTGTGGGGAAGAACTCGCCCAAGGTCACGCTGCAAGCAGCAGGCTGAGAATTAAGCCCCCTCTGTGTGGGTCAAAGCTGTCCACACTCGCTGACTGTGGACAGCTGAGATCAGGGCCCAGCCCTGGGGCCACAGAGCAGAGTGAAGGGTATGTACTGGGGAGGTGCCCTCAGTCCAAAAGCCCAGCGGGTGTAAACGGCAGGGGAGCCAGCGGGGTGTGACCGAGGGCCCCTCACCCTGCACGGCTCCGTGCTGGACCACGTAGACGAGCACCCAGCGCAGGGTGGTGTCCGTGCCGCCCAGGAACAGGTCCATCACCACTTGGATCAGGTTCTCCTCGCTGAAGGTAGAGACTGGGTCATCCACAGCCTGGTAGGGGGAGCAGCTTTGGTCGAAAGTGCCCTCCTACCAGAGCCTAACTGAGCCCAAGACTTGTGGGGCTCAGGTCCCTTGGGAGGGTCTGAATCCCAGGACTGCGCTGGCCTTTGCTGGGGGCTGCCCTGCGTGCCAGCCCCGATAGTAGCCAGGTCATCTGCTTCCCAGGCTTGCCCTGTCGGGAGAAGCCAGCCCCAATCTGGGGAAAGACAGGGAGGAAAACCCTTTCTTCACCCAGGCTTCCAGGGTAGCCAGGGTTTGCAGATCAAGTCAAAGGACAAGAACGGAGACCACGGCCTGGACGTGGGGTGCAGCCGGGAGCGCGGCCCTCCTGCTCCCTCAGCAGCCGTGCCTGGCCCACCCGGGTGATCTGCGCTAAGTAACAGCTGATGAAGTCCGGGGGGGCCTCTGATGCCCTGAGCTTGTGCTGGAAGATCTCCTGGCGGATGAAGCCTCACACAGCCTCTTGGTACCTAAACAGCTCCTGGTAGGGTCCCGGCAGGTGGCGGAGGGCCCAGGGGAACAAGTCATACAGCTGTGGGGAAGAGGGATCCCCAGGGCCCACTCAGGCACCAGCCCCTGGGTCAGGGCAGCTGGGAGCTGTGCCAAGGGCACCAGAGTAGGCTGGGGGATCTGACGTGGGCAACCCAGGCTGCCTCTCATCTGGAACCCCAACATAATCGAGGCAAAAAGTATAGCGGTGTTCACATCAATCATGTTCAGGGCTTAGCTAAGATGCTGCTGGCTAAGCAATCTTTATTTTGGAGGCCACAACCTGCTTTACCCCCGACCCATGCTAAATGACCACAGTGAAGGGGGTTTGGTGCTGTGAACACATCAGCACCTGAGAAACCCAGAATGGCCTGGGCAGGGTGGTGCATGCCTGAAATCCCAGAACTCAGGAGGCTGAGGCAGGAGGGTTGCCATGAGTTCAAGGTCAGCTTGGGCTACATAGTGAGTTTAAGACTAGCATAAACTACATAGTAAGACCCTGTCTCAAAAAACAAAAAACACCCATTTAGCCTCACAGCCTCTATCCCTTCCACGCTTTGCATGCTCCTTGGCAGGCCCTGGCTGAAGCTCCTACCTCTGGCCCCCAGCCGTGCCATGGCCTGTACCCCTGCCCCCCCAAATGCCAGTTACCCGGCGCCACACAGTGCTGACAAAGGCCAGGCCAAAGTCGGCGGCTTGAGTCAGTTCCTGGAAGATGGGCTCCTCCGAGCGGAAGCGATGGCCAAACGCGAGGGCCCCGATGGCTCTGGCCGTGGACCTGACCAGGAGGACCTGCGGGTCGAAGGCTCTACCTGAGGACAGAGGGGCAGGGCTCAGGGACAGCGGGCACAGAGAGCCGGGCCCAGCCTCGCCCACGCCTGGCTGTGGTCACCCATGTGCCCCGCCGCGGCTCCCTCCCTGCCCATCCTGCACCCACCAAGTGCTCCCTGAGCTCCTCCAGGGCGGGCTTTTCAGGGAGGTGGGCAGGCAGGCACAGCTCGGGACAAAGGGGCGGGAGACCAGCAGCGCCTGGGACCCAGGGAGGACTTCCGAGGGGACCTCAGCCGGGTGGGAAAGGGGGAGCGGTGTTTACTCACAGAGAAGGGAGGGGTCTGGGTGCGGGCGCTGCAGAAGGGCCAGCAGCCGGTGCAGGAGCCTGGAGGTGTGAAAGGCTGGCCCTTCCCATGTGATAGAGAAGCAGGGCTTCTGGCTTCCCAGTGACCTGGGCATCCTGGGCCTCTGTCCACCCACCCCGGAGAAACTCCCAGTCTGCTGGCACGGCTCAAAATGCCCCTGCTGTCACACACAGCCCACACGCGCCGCAGGCTCAGCCTCCTCTGCAAGCCTGGGTGAGCCCTGGGTGTCTGAGGGGCTGCTCCTCACCCTGCTCCCGGCGGAAGGCCTCGGCCAGCTCTGCCGCCTCGTCCTGCAGCTGCAGCTCCAGCGCCGGCCTGCCCAGCCCCAGCGCGCGGAGCGTGGTCAGGCAGAAGCGTCTCTGTTGTGCCCGTTGCTGCAGATGAGCCCTGCGCCAGGTGGGCAGTGGAGGGGCGCACGGTCACCAGCCCCCTCCGCCCCCAGCCCCTGCTCTCTCCGCGGGGTGGGGGGCGTTGTGCGGCGGGGTGAGTGGTCCCGGGGCCTCACATCGGCCCTGCCCAGCCCCGTCCGGTGTCCCTGTGAAATGTCCTCACAAGAAGGAGGCAGCGGGGCTGGGGAGGTAGCGAGTGGGAGGGCGCTTGTCCACCATGCAGTGGGCCCAGCTCATCCCCGAGACTGCAAAATTATTAATTAAACATACAAATCACTTGTGGGCCGGGAAGGAAGCGAATAGCGACAAAATAGGGCCCTTCGCTGTGCTGCGGTCACAATACAACCAAAAGCTTCACTTGCAAAAAAAAAGAGCAAATGGAGGCAGAAAGAAAGAAGGGGAGGGAGGACACTTGGGGGGCAGGGGCGTTGGCTGGGCCGGGCCCTGTTCCGCGCGTGTCACCACCTGCCTCCTGGGAACCTAGGAGCACTACGGGGAGCACGCGGAGGGCAGAGGTGAGACTCGCCTCTTTCTCCAAACAGGTTGCAGAAGAGCGGGGTGAGGGGTCTGCCCGAGAACTGCTCTGAGTTCGAGACCAGCGCCTCCTTCACTGCCCGGAAGCCGCTCAGCACCACCACGGGCGTGGGGCCGGCCCACACGGTGAGCACGCGGCCGTGGGTCTCAGCCAGCTGTGGACGGGCGGGCGGCAGGCTGCGGAGGACAGATCCACCCGCCCCACCCCCCGGACCCTCCTCTGGACGTGAGTCCCTCACCTTCTCACACCCAACATGCACGTCCTTCGGGGACACCTTCTGGAGCACCCCACCCCTCCCCCAGGCCGGCCCGAAGCCGGATCACTGCTCCCTGGGCCCCTCTGTCCCGGAGTGGCTGTGTTCTGCCACTTTACAAGGACAGCTACACGCAGCCACAGTGCTCACGGGCTTTGTGCCTTGGGTGGGCTTCCTGCCTCAGGTGGGCTTCCGTGTGTGTCACCTGCATCCACCCTCAGCCTCAGCGTGCAGTTAGACAACAGAGATGGAAAGACAGGCCTGGCTGTCTGTACAGTGCTCTTTGCACTGCAGGCGAGGCTGAGGCAGAAAGTGCCTTTAGGCCACGATAGTGCTCTCCTGGAGTCGCATGCAGTTTTCTGCATCTGCAGTGCACTTTGGCTCTCGGCGTGCTCTTAGGTAGACTGTGAGCAGTCTTTACATCCATCTTTTTTCTTTTTGTTTTTGAGACAGTCTCACTATGCAGTTCAGGCTGGCCTTGAGCTCACTTTGTAGCCCAGGTTCGTCTTGAACTTGCAACGATCCTCCTGCCTCAGCCTCCCAAGTGCGGGGATTACAGGTGTGTGCCACCACGCCTGGCTCTGTCTGTTTTTTAATGTTCCACTTTTGCGTCCCGCTTCAGCCCTGTTTGACAGGTGAGGAAACAGAGGCTCGAGGCTTCAGGGCTGGCAAGCGATGGGCGAGGATCCGCCCCCTCTACAAGGGTCTGGGCTCCTCCACCTCCGCTGTGCCAGGCTGAGAGGGGGCGGGGACTCTGTCCACCCCGTTAGGGCCTCAGCTCGAGGACAGGTCGCATACCTGGAGCAGCGTCCCTGGGTGCGGCCGGAAGCTTAGTTGCCACAGGTTGCCGAGGATGGGGAAGGGGACAGGGCCAGGGGGAAGGCGGCTCCTTTCCCGGTGGAAGGCAGCAAGCTTCAGGAGCAGGAAGGAGCCAGCCAGGAAGGCCAGCCCGCAGAGCAGAGATCATCTCCGTGGTCCTGTCGTGTCGCCTGCCCTCTGCTTCCAGCGCCACCTGGCTGCTCTCCTGTCCCTTCTACCTGCCCTGGCTTTTATGCCGTCCTTTCGGCCCAGTCACGGAGAGACTCAAACCCCAGGCATCTTTTCCTAGGGGAGTACAATCCGTTTGGTCACACCAGCCACACCCAGACCGTGCTGCGGGGCTCCCGGCAGGGGACATGTCGGGACACCCTCACTGCTGTATCAGCCTCACCTCTGGCCTGTGGAACTCTACCCCGGGCAGCTCCTTTCACCTCCTGCTTGGGGCGAGGGGCCTCAGCAGACTGCATGGGACAGCTGAGGGGGCACAGGGCATCACGGGCCGTGGCAATGTCTCCTCGGGGACACCCTGCTCCATTTGGACACGACTACTCTCCACCCTGCTGTCCCCACCTGCTGTCCCCCAGCCTCTCGTCAACACCTGCTCCAGCCTGGGCAGCGTGGGCCCCGCACCTGCCCTGGGTCCCCGGGGTCTGGACCCTTTTTTTGCAGGTCAGCTGTCCCAGAAGCAGACTGCTCAGGTCTAAATCCCAGTGCTAGTTGATCTTGGGCCAGTTATTTTGCCTCCCTCTGCCTCAGTTTCTCACCTGTGTGATGGGGATGGGAGATACCATGTTGGTCAACTGTCCGTACAGCGATGAGGCCAGTGCCCGGCAGCAGAGAGAGGCCACCCTGCAGCTGGGCGCATTGAGGAGAGTGTAACCCAGAGGTGGGCAGAGATGAGCACGTGGGCAGGGCTCAGGGAACCCACAGGGAGAATATCGGCCACAGTGGCAGCCCTCTCCACGGGGGCTTACACAGCCAGGGGCCCCCGTGCCAGAGGGGTACAGAGCCCCGGCTTGGAAGGTGGATGGCAGCGACAGCTGCACAGCGCCGCCTGCATGGCCCTGAGCCGTGCGCTCAAGGTGGTGAAAATGGTGAGTTGCACATTGTGTGCACAGGACCTTACTACTGTGCAGAGAGGGTCGCTGCAAGCCCTTGCACCGCCTCTGCCCCAGGCTCCCCGGTGGCTCCTCCTCCAGGGGTTCCCAGCTGTGTCACAGGCTATGAGACGAGGTGGTGTTGGGGGGTGATGTGCTCGGGTTATGTTCCTACAAATAGTGCTGTGTAACTTCCACAACACTGCTGCCTGCTGGTTTTATAGGCTGGCTTCCCCTCTCCAAGTCATGTTCCTCCCTCCTCAAAACATTGCTGAAGAGCCTAGTTCAGTGTGCATGTCTGTAATCCCAGCCCTCTGGGAGGCTGAGTCCGGAGGATTGCAAGTTCGAGCCCAGCCTGGGCAACTTAGCAATTTAGAGAAACCCTGTCTCAAAATTAATAATGATGATCGTGATGATGATGATGTTTTGGGGTGTAGCTCAGTGGCAGAGCGCCTGCTGGGCATGCGCAAAGCCCTGGGTTCAACTCCCAGTACCACAAAAAGAAAACAACCTCACAGGTCTCTGAAACCTAACCACCGCCTCCAAACACACCCACTTTCCCCACAGTGCTCTGCCTTGCTCTGGGTAGATTTCCAGGCTTTGTTACCTACCTGGGGTTTCCACCCCGTCTTTTTCACAGCACAACCAGCTCAGCGGCGGCTCCACACCTCCCTTCCCCTGGGTTTGTATGATGGTGTCAGCGATCGCTCAGTCTGGAGCTGCCTTTGAAAGTTCTGACTCACCTATGGAGCTGGTGGCCCATGAGGCCCCGCCCCACAACACAGCATCCTCGTGTGCACACGCGTGTGCCTCATGCCAGAGCTCCTGCTCAGTGGCCCTTCTGTGCCAGCTGACTCTCTGCCCGCCTCCTGTCACCCCTGCACTAAGAGCTACTCGAGCCAGGGATGGTTCGCAGCTGACGTGCCTTGCACACACAGCTCCCGTGTTCAGTCAGATTCAGGCAGTTTGCACACTCGTAGCTGCCATTTGTGGCGCTGGGATGGGCGGCGCTGGTGGGCGTGAGGGGCTCAGTGGGGGCTGCAGCATGGAAGAAGGCGGCGGCAGGTGCAAGATGATGACCACCAGGACCTGGAGACGGAGGTGTGACAGAAAGGTGCACCCGTCCTCTGCCTATGATGTCCTCCACACTGCACTCGGGTTCTTCTGCCTATCTGAAGCAGGCAGGTTTCTCAGAGCCTCCCCCAAGTCAGGCCAAGCGTCTGAAGCTTTTTCTGTAAGACGGAGAAATCTGTCGCCCTAGCGGGATACTTGCCCGCTCGACCTTTCCAAGCGTGTCGACCTCTGACAGGCTTCCTCCCTCCCTCGCCCAAGGGTCACAGCGTTCCGGCTGCTGAGGGCGGGACTTGGCTCCCAGAACGGAGGCACACCTGGCACCCTGGGCCAGCGCGGTAGATTCCGGCACAGGGCAGGGGGCACAGAGGTTTTAGAGACTACCACTACCTGGACCAAGGCCTGCCTATGTCCTATTTAGAACTGTGGGCCAAGGATGGGCACAAGTCAGACCCCTCTCCTGCGTGCCCCCAGGAATAACTCAGCTCCACTCAGGTGTCTTGGCTGAGCCTCTTCCCTGTAGGAGTTACCATCACATTGAATTTCTAAACTACTTCTCTCTGAAATACTGTGAAGTAGGGTCACTTGCTTGAGAAGGTGGGCAGGCTGTGAGTCAAACCCAGGGCTACTGTCTAAGTTCCACAGCAGCCTCCCGGCTGGGATGGACCCGCCCGCCTGGCAGAAGGCTCCTAAGGGCTGAGCGAACACACCTGTGCAGAAGCAGGCCCGGCATCTCCTGGAGGTTCTGATCCAGCTGCAGGGACCCCTCTTCCGGGCCTTAGGCTGCTCCCAGGCTGGCGCTGCACCTAGAAACCCCTCCTGGAGCCTGACACACTCCCTCTCCTCCTGCTCCTGTGCCTGCAGGTCCCTGTTGGGGAGAGGCGTTTCCACAGCCCCCAGAGAAACTGGACAAGGGCTGTGCGTCACAGCCTTAGCCACACAGCAGGGGCCGTTTCCCGAACACCGTGCCCTCATAGTAGGGACCATCAGGCCCTCTGTGAAGGGGAGAAGAAATAGCGTGGAGATGCAGAGATCACTAGAAATGAGAGAAGCGAAGAGAGGTGAGGCAGGAGAGATCCCCAAGCTTATCTCCACGCACCTGAACCGAGAGGGGGTTTGTTTCTTACCTTCGTGTTTCATTTGCATAATATGCCCAGTGCCTCATGGGAGACCTGGGAACAAATACAAGCTGCCTGAGAGGCTGGGGATTTAGCTCAGTGGCAAAAGCATCTGCCTGGCAAGTGCAAGGTTGTGAGTTTGATTCCTGGTACCGGAATAAAAACAAACAAACACAAAGCAAATACAAGCTGCCTGGCTGCCTCTGTACATTATGTGGTCTCCAAAGGACAGTAGCTATTTCTAGGGAGGTTTGGGAGGCCCAGGAATCCCTAACAGCTCAGCTTAGAAGGGGCTGACTCAGAGACCACATCCGGGCGGCCAGGGCAGGGACCGGGGGAGGACTGGGCCCTGGTTTGCACATCTTATTGACACTGCTTTCTTTCGCTCCCCAGTGACCTGGTGTGACTACGCCTCACGAGCGTTCTGCGTGAACTCTGTGAGTCTCCTGCTGTGCAGACAGGGAAATGGTGCTGGTGATGAGCAGGATACCTAGAGTTCTGCTGAGTGTTCCGGTGGAATTGCAACCTCAGCGTTGACACTGGGCACGTGCTGTGCTCCAGAGTGTGATCTCGGGGCTCAGGAGGGACGCAGGGTCTGATGCATGTGGCAAAGGGCAGGGCAGCCAACAAACATCCTCCTCACCCCTCGCCCCACAGATGCACCCGTGTCCAGTGGATTCTGCCTTCAAAGAGCTATGGGGTTGGTAGAATGAATGGCCCACCCAGAAGGATGTCTTTATGGTACTCAGCATATTCCTCTAACCCAAAACACAACTTATGGCAGCGATTATTAAAGATTCTGTAAACATACTAGCTAGTCAAAAGAAAGATCCAAAATCTTACAAAGAAAGCAGAAAAAAAAAAAAAAAACCACCATACACACAAAGATAAACACAT